CTGCCGGTGCCCCTGGCTCAGTGGCGGCTGGTGGAAGGAGGTCTTGTCCGCCGTTGCAAAACTAGTGAAGGGTCGGCCGGCGGCCTTGGCGAAATGCCAGTCACGAATTCTTTATGCATGAAAATGGAGCTGCGTTCGCGGAAGGCAATGACCTGGTTGATGCGGTAAGGCTAGAGTTGGTGCGTTCAAGGAGGCAGAGTTAGAGTTAGTGCCGGTGTTAGAGTGCGAGTGAGGATTATCACAACGAGGCTTATGTTTCATTTGGGCGAGTTCAAAGTAGACTTATTCTTAGCTTCCGCACTCGTCCTCTCTGACCGGCAAATGCCAACTCATCAAGCGGTCACTGATGCAGGAAATCGACTTTGTCAACATCAACAGCTGCATTAGTCTGCTATCTCATCATAGCAGCTGTAGGCGCGGCGATTATCGCACTTTGGGGATGTGGTGTGAGTGTATCGAGCCTACTCGACATGTAGACAAATTGGCACAAGGCTTGCGACAGTGCAAAGAAAGAAAAGGACCAGTGATTCCAAGCCCCCCCCCCCCCAACAGGACCAGCCCCGCGCCACCGGCACCAGCATGACGGTATGGTAGACAAAAGTCGGTAAGGCGAGCCAGTAACACGGCGCGGTGGCAGAGTACTGCTAACTACTGCGACCTTGGCCGCGGCCGCAGCCGCAGCCGCAGCCACAGCCGTATGCGGAAAAGACCCAATTCATCGCCGACCCTGCAAGCCCGCCCGAGGGTTCACGTTCAAACTGTGCTAATTGGCCAGTCACTGGCCCTTGCCGCCTCAGGACGGTGCCGCTTCCGCCCCCCCCCCCGTCCCCCCCCCCCCCCAGCGGCTACAGACAAGCGTTGCGTTGCGCGCTGGGACTGCCGGTGCCGCGGGCTCCTCCACTAACCTGGAGCTCCACAAACCGGCCGCGGCGGCTCGCGCTAGCCAATCACCGTCCTGCTGGTGCTGCATGTGACGTCACAAGGCCTCCGCTGCCCGGAGGGTGAATGCTGGTGTCACAGGGGTCGGCGTACAGGTATAAGAGGGCGGGACAGGCCACTGAACACAAACGCCTGCATCTCGTGGGAGAATACGCCTTGCGCAGCTCAGGTGAGGCAGGACCATCCGGAGAGTCTTTTCCGAGTTCTATCAGTTCTATCCGAGACGTCCTATTCAATGAAACTACAGAGACATCCGTGCTGATCGCCGGGACACGGCATGGTGTCCTGATGACGTCATAGAATTGATGAAAGCCGGTGTAATTTGTGATGAGTCTTTTACATCCCTGGGATTTCCAGCAACGGAAGAAGTTAGGGAGGCAGACAGACGCCCTTTAACACCCCATCCCAAACCCATTTCACCCTTGGTTCCACTTCCAAACCGCCTGCTAAGATGATCCGTAGCTTCTTAATCCCTTAAAAGTCCGCTGGCGCTCTTGTGACCCCCTGGGGCTCTCTCTACGCTTATCCGCCTGGCATTCTGTTCCTCTCCGAACCAAAATGAGCTACACTCCGCTGAGCTCATCATAACCTCGCAACATACCTACGTGGTCTCGCACCAGCAAACTAAGCTTCGCACTGCTGTCACTTTCATGGCACGGTCAACACCGGGTCAACACCCGTTCCAATCCGTATTCGAGGAGCGAATACAACCGACAGTCCTTATCCCCTTGTCTCCCGCGTGGTGTCGCGTCCACTCCAGCCGAGACGAAACGCGGTCTGTTGACAGTCTGCTACAACATATCGCACCCCACTCCTTTCTGCAGCCGAGATGAACCGTACGCTGCTGGCTCTGGTGGCGGCCGTGGCCGCAGCTCAGCTGACCGAGGCCCTGGTCCTCCTGGGCGCGGGCACCGCCGGCGCGCTCACCCTCGGCGCCGGCACAGCCGCCTCGGTAGCGGGGCCGCTGGCGGTGGCCGGTCTGGCGGCCGTCGCCATCGGCGGTGCCGGGCTGCTGGCGGGCGCCGCCGCCAGGCGCCGCCGCGGGGGGTTCGGCGGCAGACGCCGCGGCGGACGCCGGGGGCGTGACGTCGCCGAGCAGCAGGACCAGGTACGGAGAGGGACGGGGGGGGGGAGGGGAGAAGGGGACGGGGAGGGGGAGGGGCTCGAGGAGCAACGCCTCAGCGCAGAACAGCCGCGGAGTTTGGCTCTGGGCATAAGTGTCGCGCTCAAGACGGTGTGTGTAAGTGACGGGATGTCTGGCGAGTCCCAGTGCGCGTCCGTGTTTATTTTTAAGAGGCGTTTTGTGGCAGTGGCAACCGCCTGCTGTAGAGCAAATCGACTGCGTCTGTATTAGGATACACCGTGTCCAAAAACGTGCACTAAGTGTTGAAATGACAGCGGCTCACTAAGCAACGCTTGGCACCAAGTAACAAGCAGTGATCGGCTGGTGGTGTGTTCTTCAACCATGTAGGCAAATCTCGCAACAGGTTGGCTACCTGTTTGCAACCTCACCAGACGGCACGTCACACGTGACTTTGTGCTCCTGTGCTCACACCTGCGCCCGTCGCCGGTGTGACTTTGTGCTCCTGTGCTCACACCTGCGCCCGTCGCCGGCGTGACTGTGTTCCTGTGCTCACACCTGCACCCGTCACCGCCCCGTTCGCCTCCGCCTCCGCAGGTGCTCATTGACCGTGAGAGCGGTATCTGGGACGCGGTCAGCGCCACGGACGAGCAGAGCTGCGTGCTCAAGTTCGTCTGCCTGGTGGAGGCCGAGCAGGACGCTTCGCTCCTCACCCGGGAGGAACAGCTCATCGTCGATATCTTTGGGTGAGCGCGCAGCGACGGAGAGGTCTGCGGTTCGACTCCCGCCGCACGGAACTTTCAATAGCTTTGGTTTGCGCGGGCTGGCAATGCTTTGAAAGTACGTTAAAAGGAAATAGGAGCACCATGTTAGTAAACGGAAGATCATCCAAAAGCGGTACTTCGCCAGTGTTGCAATGATCAGTAGTGCAGCCATGTTGACTCCGTCACGTACAAAATATGTCCCGACACCGTATCTCGTTTGTTCCAGCACCGACCCCGCGGAGCTGGATTTCGACACGATGAAGGAGAGCCGGGCGCCCTTCGAGTACGCCGCCTTCATGGGCAACAAGTTCGGCAACGACTCCTGCGGCAAGCTCTTCCACTCGTGTCCTCTCTCGCGGCCTCAGATGTCCTCCTTCCTGGAGAACCTCAAGCTGCTCTGATGTGTGCATATCGTAAAAAAACTATTGATGCTGTTCTGTTCATACTACGTACAAATTATCCGTTCAAATAATGTCTCAATAAAGAGGGAAAGGTGACCGGCTCTGTGTAGCAAAGAGGGAAAGGTGACCGGTTCTGTGTAGCAAAGAGGGAAAGGTGACCGGTTCTGTGTAGCAAAGAGGGAAAGGTGACCGGCTGTGTGTAGCATGCATGTGAGCAGGGGTGGTAACGTTGCCGACTTGGTGCATAAGGTCGGCGGCAAAAATGTCTATTTTCACATAACGTTTGGCACCAAAAGATGCCTTCGACCACAAACAACATGAAAAACAGGTCACGGCAACGAAAAATGATTACAGCGCGCATTCAATAATCTTACATGGGGCTTTAATGGTAATGCATTTCATCTCACAACACCAGTAAGCCTTTCCGCAAAGACCCTTTCCCGTACTCCACGGCATCATGGTTTGTTTCCTAGGCTCCATCCCAACTCGGCGACAAAAATATCCTAAGACTTTGGTTGGTCGCTCACTTCGGTGACAGATCGGCGACAAATCATTTATATGTTTTATGTGGTGTGGTTGCATGATGTATCTACTTAAGGAGTGCAAACACAATATAAAAATCTGGCTCTGGTTCTTGAATGAGAAATAGGACATTGTGGCAATTGTGACGCAGCCAAGTTACGATTGAACTGGTGCGCTTTGTAACGAACTACCCTTCCTATGACTCGAAACATCCAGCATTTTTTCACCCTGTCGCTGCAGAGCTATCTGTTGATGCGTGCAGTTTGAGAAGAAACGGCCCGTAGTGGATGTCAACGTGATGAGGCCGAAGGGCAAAATCCTAAAAGGATTTTGGTGAAATACAAATTTTATTTCCACAATCTTCCTTCTCATTGGTGGTTGAAAACTGTTCTCGCAGTTTCGGATCTACTTTGGTGCATGAGTTACGCGACATCTCTGAAACCCCAGCAGAACGCGAACCCCTCAGTTTTCCGCCGCAAGCACTGCGTGAAAACTCCCAACCCGATGGCAGAGGCGAGATGCGAGCGGCGAGATACTCCGCCCCCTGGTAGAATAAGACAGACCATCGCGTCCCCCCCCCCCCTCTCTCTAAACGAAATTCTCTCTGATCAAAAGGCCTGTGTGCAAATGCCTTCAGCCTTGCACAGCGCTTTGTTTACGAGATGGCGCCATTTGCTGTTAAAAACCGCATGGAACTGCGCTCAGTGATCGCATAGAATACCATATATATATATATATATATATATATATATATATATATATATATATATATATATATATAATTATGCAATAATAATGCCATCTATAAAGTGTGCGGACGAGATCCTACCGCTCGAGGTGAGACGTGCTCGCTGTTCAAGTCAGACTCGCTGTGCCCGCGGCCTTCCCGGTATTCGCGAACCTTTTGACAACTCTGACGAATGTGCTTCCTACTTGCCGTCTCCGCAGCAAGTAAGCTCAGATCTATTTATCTAACCACCACCGCGAGTCAATACGGGCTCGCCTCCTTAAAACCCCGCGAATGTGCCTTGTCCACGACAGTCGACTGCTGACTGGTCAAGAGGATCAGACTAGCTCGGCAGGTCTGTGTCGTGACATTCCACGCATGTAAAAGGGCACCGGACAAAAGTGTGCGTTCAGTGAGAGTTTGGAGGCAAGGTGGTGGGGTTCAGAGCTTTTGTAACGACCAAGGTTAGTAAGGACTCCGGCCCCCTTGGCCATCCCCGTAAAATGCTCCATCAAATTTGCCTTTTAAATATGACGGAGTTCAGTCCGGGTAACGACGAGCCATGCTCTTCAAAACACATATCTGTATTTCCTCCGACGCAATAACAAACCAACCCTCGCTGATTTCATCACCCACACATCAGAAACACAGCACGACCGTCGCGCTGCAGTATCAGAACTGGGAACCCCAGCTTCCCATCGCTGCCTACAGGTGGCAGTTTGCTAGCTGAAGCCCGGCGCGTGCAGCTCCGGGGAGCCGAACAGCAGCTTGCGCTGCGGCGGCGCGGACACCTGCCGAAACAGCACGTTATAAGAGTGATGCCAGCAGCGAGTGTAGAGCACCACTAATAGAAGAGATTGCGGGATACAGCAGATTCAGCACAAGCCTACTGCCGCGTAAGGGACGGGAACATCGCTGCCAACGCAGCGCAAGCAGACAACTATCTTCCGGACTAACGTAATCCGGCACATAATCCAGCCAATCCGTACACAAGACAAGCGCATCTCTGACCTAACGATGCTGCAGGCCATATGACCTTGGTAAGCAGCTTCCCAGGCTTATCGAGATCGCAGGTGACGTCCACATACATACATACATACATACATACATACATACATACATACCACACACACACCACACACACACACACACACACACACACACACACACACACACACACACACACACACACCACACACCACACACACACACACACACACACACACAACACACAACACACACACACACACACCACACACACCCACACACACACACACACCACACACATATATATATATAATATATATATATATATATATATATATATATATATATATATATATATGTAGATCTATAGATAGATAGATAGAAAGATAGATAGATAGATAGATAAATAGATAGGTAGATAGATAGATAGATAGATAGGTGAGCTATATACTACAGTTCACTTATCTATGCATCTATATATCTACCTATCCAAAACGTTACACCACACGTCCTGACCTCAGCCTGCTTGACCTGATTTCACACCACTTCACCAGGCCTTCTCCGCCTGCCTGACCTCCGAGCCCCCGGTCTGCTGCTGGTCTGAATGACCCGGCCTCTGAGTCCGACCCAGCGCCGACCACCCACCTTGGTGGTCTTCTGGAGCAGCTTGAAGAGGCCGGTACCCAGCGAGGTGGGCATGCCCATGATGATGCACTCAGACACGCCCCGTGATGAACATCCTTCTGGCCGTAGTAGGCCGCGTCGAACAGGTGGTCAGACGTCTTCTCAAACTGCTGCCGACAACCGACGGAAGGGGGGGGGGGGGGGGGGGGGCACCAGTCATCAGCAGACGCATTTTCATGCATTGCATTTTCTCGAAGGGGAACATGTCCATGCACTTCCTCGAAGGGGAGGGGAGGGGCAGGCGGAGGTCACGGCGGGTTCGGCGACCTCACCTTCGTGGGGAATCCTCACTGAGGGTATCGGAGAGGTCTGAGAGCTCTGCACATGGGAGGAGCCGGCGAGACTCACGCGCGCACGACTCAGAGGCTTGTGAGGTCCACAGACAAGGCGGCGCGCCGGGCGTCTGTTGTGGAAGATCGCCGGCGCCTTTCACCCGTCTTTCGACACCAGTGGGGCGAGCGACGCGTCTCAGAGAGGCTTCCTTTATTCCCGCCAAAACACAGATTGCCTCTGATAATCCCCCCCTCCCCGCCCCCGCCCGCCGAGAGGGGTATACCGCACCTCAGATAGCCTTTTTGCCTCTGGGCGGCAGGGTAAGTGCTGTCTTAACTAATCGCTCTTCGGCTTTCTTGCCTTTAGACGGTGAAATGCCATCTCCCATCCCCTGCATAAAATTGCACCTCCAGCACCACCTTTCCCAGTCTGCTACACCCCAACTCCAGCGATACCTTCATCCAAGCATTTACACAGACATTCACCACCCAATCAGCCTTCAGCGCCGAGGCCGCTGCCCCCGGTCACTCACCGACGCCAGCATGAGCACGCTCTCCTTCATCTTGGCGAGGCCGTAGCGGGTGATGCCCAGCACCTCCCCGCGGGAGCACATCAGATCGGCCAGCAGCATCACGTGCCGCCGGTCGATGGACATGCCGTGCGACTCCATCGTGTACTGGATCTCGTGGATGATGGTCGACCTGCCGCACGGCGTCAGGCGGCGTCGGCGGGGCCCGGGCGCCGGTGGGGCGTCGCGGCCGCCCTCCCTCCCGACATGGGAGCGGTCCGGGCGGCGGTGGGGGGTAAGCTCCACCCATGTCGGGAGCGAGGCGCGGCCTTCGCTCCCGACATGGGTGTGATCCAGGCGCCGGTGGGGTAAGCTCCACCCATGCCGGGAGCGAGGCGCGGCCCTCGCTCCCGACATGGGTGGGGTTCGGTCACGGCAGTCGATCACGCTGATGCGAGGCTAGAGGGAGCGCGCTTAACGCGCGTGGACTGTGTGCGAACGGTCGCTGCACTGTTCGCCATACGTGGATGTAAATGCTACTGTGCGTTCGCAACATGTGGATGTAAATACGCCATGTTGCCGTGCCGTGCGCGTCAGGCCGATAATGGGCGATGGGACCTGTCGGTGCAGGAGACAACACCACGCGCTGCGGCGTAGACGACGTACGCAATTCAGTGCCAGCTGGCCAGCACCGTGCCTGACAAATGGCGGGAGAAACCACACAGCGTGTGTGTGGCCATCTAGTGGCTTGCTCAAGATCGTTGTCAGGGGATGGTTGGTTGGTTGGTTGGTTGAGTACTTGGGCTTTAGGGCGCATCGGTTGTCAAGGCATGCGTTCGTAAACTTGCACGTGCACGCGTTGCTCTAGGCAAGCTATCACAATGGAGGTTCGCACAACTCATCGCATCGGCGAGTTCAAGACATCTGTCCACCAGTTTTCTTAACGCGAGCACCGTGCGAACTCATTGCGTCTGTAAAACCACACAATTGTGGCATGGGCTCAACCCAACACGAGCCTGCACATCTCCCCAACTGTCCTCCGCCGGCCGTCCTCGTCTGTACTCAGCCGTCCTCACCTATCCCTAACTATCCTCTGCTGGCTGTCCTTGTCTATCCCCAACTGTCCTCACATATCCCAATTGGGCCTCTGTTGGCTGGCATCCATATCCCCAACTGCCCTCCGCGGGCGTCCCCCCCCCCTGCCCCCGGCCGCCGGTGGTGTCCCCATCCGTCCTCTCCAGCCCTCGGGCGGCGTCCTCACCTGGCGGCCTCGATGCCGAGCGTGCTGTACACCTCGTGGGTGTTGTTGGAGGTGCTGGCCGTGCCCCGCACGCCGTAACGGTCGCCATCAACCTCGCGCAGGTTGTTGCCCTCTACGAACAGCTTGTAGCGCGGCGAGCCCTTCGAGTCGTCGATGGCGATCACGGCGCGCGCTAAACCGCGGCAGTCCCTGGCGCGCGCAGCGCCGCAGAGTCACAGCCGTGAGCACACAGAGCGCACAGTCACAGACAACAAGCTGTCAGCACACAGGAAAGAGCCCACAAAGGGTACTACGGGGGCAGGAAGAGCCCACCGGGAGGACCACAGAGGGCAGGGAGAGGCCCCACCGAGGGCCACGAGGGCAGGAAGAGCCCCAACCTAGGAACCACAGAGGGCAGGGAGAGCCCACCCAGAGGCTGAAAGGGCAGAGTAGAGAGAAGCCCATCAAGGGACCAATATGACAGAGGTCCCCCCCCCCCCGCCCCGCCGAGCGAATGCCATGGTCAACAACGCACGGGACCGCCAGTGTCGCAGCGTCCAAAACTGCCACCACGAGGAAAACGACAGGCGTTCTCACAGCCCGCCGCAGCGAACGCGCGTTTTTCCCACCACGCGCGCGCGTCCAGCTCCACCAGAACCCGCGCACCTCGGCCGCGCGCCACAAACGCCGCCGCGACCGGCGCTCGATCCCGCCGCGGACCGCGGCTCACCTTGATGACGACGAACGGCAGGTGCTCCTTCAGGCTCTGGATCTGGTAGTAGAGGGAGGAGCTCTTGCCGGCGCCGGCGCGCACCGTCAGGATGGTGTCGCTCTCCACCGTCACCGAGGCCGGCTTGGTCGGCAGCCGTGCCGTGCAGATGCTGCAGCGGCAGCAGCGTCAGTCGCCCTCCTCCACGCTCCCCTCCTCCTCACTCCTTAACACCACTTCCGGCACGCCTGGAGCTCCAGCAGCGACAGCCGCCCTCCTCCACACTCCCCTCCTCCTCACTCCTTAACACCGCCTTCCGGCACGCCTGGAGCTCCAGCAGCACCAGCCGCCCTCCTCCACACTCCCCTCCTCCTCACTCCTCAACACCGCCCTCCGGCACGCCTGGAGCCTCAGCAGCGTCTGCCGCCCTCCTCCACACTCCCCTCCTCCTCACTCCTTAACACCGCCTTCCGGCACGCCTGGAGCTCCAGCAGCATCAGCCGCCCTCCTCCACACTCCCCTCCTCCTCACTCCTTAACACCGCCCTCCGGCACGCCTG